TACACTATTATTTATTTTTCTCAATGATTATTTACTTTTCTTTTGTGATTCAAGTCATATAAAATACTCATTCTATATTAAATTGATAATTAATTATCATGAATGATTTAATTTAATAAACTAAAAAGACAAACATACTAATTATATATTTGTTTCCAAATATATTGTTGATACAATTTCCAAAAGAAGCATTTACATTTATTATTAGTAACCTCAATTCCATCAACTCCCTCTTTATATATATATAGATAGATAATATTTACTAACTAGTACAACAGTCGTGTATTACACGGGTGCTTGCTCAATTTTTTTTCTTAAAATTTAAAATTAATGAGAAAAAGTAGTTAGAAGTTTAAATACTTTTTATAAAAAATATATAATATATATTTTAGTATGACAATTGTTACTTGTGCGACTTACCTGTGTTATATTATAATAATTTTTTCTAACTTATAACATATACATTAAACATAAATATATTAATTGAGATAAAATTTGATTTTTTGATTATTTTAATAAATATCTTTATTATTATTATAAATATAAATATAATTTATTTATGTTATATATAATATGGATGTCAAATCTAAACTCATCAAAATATGATTAATTTGATATATTATATATGTGAAACCGATAAAAATACAAAAATTATCAACTTTAAAAATACATTTACAATTCAATAGTTATAGTAGGAAATGATATTAAAATAAAATTAATACATCTAAAATGATCATAAATAAATCAACATATTTATGGTAATATCAACCTAATTATTTTTAGATTTGAATTAAATTAAAATCTATCCACCCAAATAATAAAGCATGAAATTTTGACAAATAGGATCCCGAAGCATGGGTGCCTGCCATTTAGGCTCAACACATTCGGGTATTATATATATGGAGATAACTAATTATAAATCCAGACTAAGTTATACACTTACAAAAACTCCTTTTTTTTTTTTTTAAGTTACTTATATTAAAATTAATAATTACTAATAACTAGCTCGGGCACCGTTGTAGCTTTGGACGACTTCGCGTTTCGGGCGAGCTCAGAACTCGGAATTGAGTTATGTTATTTCCTACATGTAGCCAGCGAACCCTCTAATTACTTATGTTTGCACGGCCAATTAATTTTTGAAATCTTATCCACCTGAAGCTCCCTGACTGCACACCAAAAACGACAAGAATCCAAAGAAAACAACGACACACGAACGAAAACACATAAAGACTAAAAAAAACACGCAACAAAATACTAAACGGATAAAGAACCAGATAAAAGACCTAAAATTGAGGAAAAAGAAAGGTAAAACAAGCACGAAAAACGCAACAAAAATGAGACAAACAATTGTTCTTGATAAATAATTAAGGAGTCCTTGTTTTTGTAATAACTATTCGTCTGGTAAGACACTGGATGAATTTAATCGCTTTAATTAGACAAACATGTAACCAAGGGTCTAGGATAAAATTTTAATTTTAATTTTTTATCTAATTTATATGATCGTGTGGGGATCAACCTGGAGATCAAGACCCGACTGAGACTCAACGACCCAACCGGACACGAGAACTCGAGAACGCGTGAATGTCTCTCCACTACGCCAAAAAAGGCTTCAGATAGCACTTTTTTTGGCTTCAGATAACGCTTAAAAGCGTTATCTGAATCAGTATTATCTGAAGACGACCTCTTCAGATAACGCTTGTAAAGTGTTATGTGAAGAATCATTCACATAACGCTTTTTTATATCAAACGGTATGTGAAAAACCTTTCCCATAACACTTTTTCAATATTAAGCATTATGTAAAGAACTTTTCACATAATACTTTTTCATATTAAGCGTTATGTGTAATATTTATCAGATAACATTTTTCAACAGAAGTGTTATCTAAGATGATGATAATATATAACACTTTTCTAAACAAACGTTATCCATGTGTATCTTTTTTTTTACGTATTTTGTGCCTGTATTCATTATCCTTATACTAGTAAACAAGAAACAAATGATTTAAATCATAAAAGCATGTACCAAGAAGCAAAAACCAACAAGAAAACGACCCAATCATGAATATAACAAAAACTTACAAACACAATCCACAAATTTTAACATTGTACTCGAGTATGTACAAGAGATTAGCGTAGCACAAAATTATGAAAGAACCGTATCTACAATTCCAACAAATCAAGAAAAACAACTAATATTCTTAGTAAAGCTGCCACCTTAA